CCCCTCCCCCCCCCCCAACTACCTCGCCTAGCGGCCCATTTGCACGGAATAATCTAAGCTAAACGAGCCTAGCACCTGAAATAAATACTGCACGTGTCACAGGCGGAAGAAAAAAGGAAGACCTACTGAAAAAAAGAAGGGCTGCTATGCCTGCTCGAGTTTTGCGTCCAAGTGCGTATGCAAAGTACGTGCAGGGCGCTATTTTTGTTTGCGGGTAGTAGGCGGAAAAAAAAAAAGGAAGACTCTTACTTCAAGTTGTAAAACAGAAACAGGACGGTCATGTCCAAAATCGAAACTTGCCCCCGCCGCTCGTGAAGAGACAGATGCGACGGAGAAAAGGAAGCACTTTACACACATACAGTCAACCGTGCGGGACCAGCAGACACAACACCAACAATTAGAACATTAGACATCTTCGGCACCACGCAGCATTTGTTGCGCCTCAGCCGATTGGCCATGGACCGCGACATCTCTGGCGGGAAGGACTACTACCTTTCCCACCACTACTTCTTTTGAAACACACAGACAAGGGACAGCCCAGCCAAGACTGATGGAAGAAATTCAGATTTCCGGCGCGATTGCGTTCGTTCGCGTTTTCCTACCACTAAACAGTTCTCACCAGGAACCCCCCCCCCTACCAATGCAACAGCAAAGAAAGAAATGGGCAGCGGAGGGCAGATATATCGATAAGCCATAGAGGGTGTTTACTCTAAGAACCGCCTACACGGTGTACTATACTGGCTTTGATTGTTGGCAAAACTCCGCCTAAGGACACTACCACTGGAACGGAGCCAAATGAAGTTCGCACATATACATAATGATATATAGGATTTCAATCTTTGCTGAAGACCGCCACAAACATGTTCCCGGGTGACGCGGGTTCAACGAAGCTCGCCGCTTTGCCGAAGGCCGCCAATCAACTTGTGTTCCATCTATCCACGATGACACAACCACGTGTACCGTATTAGCGCGCAGTCGTTGTCATCACACAACCAAAAACCCTTCGCTATGATATGCATACTCAAGTCCCCTCTACGACTTCGTGCCTCTCGCCCTACCCAGTCTTGGGAGGTCCAAAGGCAACCTCCAAAATATGGTTCACACAAAAAAAAAAAAGCAAAATACTCCCCCAACATCAGTCCCGGTTGGTACCGATCACAAGAAAACAAGGGTAAAATGATCAAATCCAGATGATTCCAATGCAGGATAGGGCAGAAAACAACACAAGCCTGCATGACTCTCGGACGGAAGCTGATTGGTCGAATCAACAAATACTGTCATACTACATGCCATGAAAAACAAACAACAACAAAAATAATCGCGCGCCCCCCTCAACGAAGTCGGGGAGCAGCAGCAGTCGCCACCGGGGGGTTCGCCACCTTGGAGGAACAAAAAAGATACCACTACAGGTCACGTCAAAACACCACTAAGACCAAATAAGTGCAATTAACACGAAAACGCGGTCTACCCTCAGACGCCCCACGGTCTGGTCGGAAGGCTCTGCGCTCACCAGCCATGCGCACCCTCACCCACCCAACCAACCCATTACACCCGACTATCAGGGTACCGGGTGTGGCCGCCGGCAAAACACGGACGGCTCCTGCGCACTGAAAAAACTCCGCTCTCGCGGCGCACGATTATCAAAAAACATTTTGGTTCGAATATTCCCATAGGAAAAACCGGAAAAGGTAAGCGGAATCATTGCCGCCCGTTTTCTTAACCATAAAGAAAAACGACGAAGCCGTGTGTTCCAGATCCTTCGATACACCCGCCCCTGTCAACCGAAAAATTCACGAACGCGCCGCATACTGAGGGTGACGGATGTGCACACAAACGTTCGTTTTCCGATGATTCATCCAAGAACAAACTTACGACTAAGCCCGCATCGCCGCCGCCGTCTCCACAGCCAGTTAATTTACAACACACCCTATTTACCAGACAGCCTGTTGTCACCGCTACACAGAAATAAATTGTCAGCAAAAAACGAGAGGGGGCAGGACACGGCGGGTACTGATTGGCTCGGCCGAGCAAACGCTCCCCCCTCCACCCGCACGAACATTTTTCCAAGCCACAAACCAACTACCCCCGTTTCGATGGGCGCCGGGAAAAAAGAAGGCAATCATCCACAAATAGCACACCATAGGCTTCGTTCTCCCATGATTCGGGGCACAGCAAAATGCATGGGAGGGGCGGGGGGGGGTTACAAAAAAAACGACCATGTTCTGCGAAGAGCGCCAAACTACAGTACCTCCGCTACGACAATAACGCCGATGACCGGCGACGAACAGCAGTCACCGGCCCCTCAAATGCCCCCAACTCTCACAAACACAAGCAACACGCGGATAGACAAGGGAAAACGGGCGGCACAGCCCAGAGTGAAATCTACGTCGTCATCGAATTCCCCTCGATGGAGGCGAAGGAGTTCAATCCATCTTCCGGGCAGACCCTCGCAAGACATTCCGCAAAAAGAGCCGAATTGCCGATCACTACATCATGTCGGCCTACCGCAGAAGTACCGTGTGGAACACGGCCACATCTATCTACCGCACCCACACCCAGAGGTGTTCAGTTTCGGCCCGAGAGTCACGTTGATCTTGGCATTCTCATCCAGCCCCAGGAACTCGCTTCGACATCGATCGCCAGAGCGAAGCAGGAGGCGTTCCGCCAAGCCGTCAGCGGGACCGTTTACCGGCACGGCTCACCTTATGTGGAATATTACCGTGGAATGTAGAGTAGCAGCAGCGAAGCGCACGTCGGTGACCAACCACGAAGACACATCACCGTCAGATCATAAACACCACACGTGGGACGCAGCAGAGGCAGAGGCAGCATCCATGTATCATGACAAAACACACGGCGACGACGCCGGCCAAGCACCGCAAAAAGAGACACACGGAAAAAAACGGGAGCAAGAAGAACGAACGCCATCCATCAGCAAGTAAACAATCAACAAAAACAACGGCCGCTCAAAAACCACAGCGGTTCCGCCGCACCCTCACCGGCCTTGCTGTGATCTTCACCCCACGCCCACGCCTTGGTGACAATGTCAGGGCCACCGGCAGCGGAATCAGCAGAAGCCGCCGCCGCCGCCGCCGCCGCCGCCGCTCCCATGGTAGCCGAGGTCGCCGCTCCAATAGCGGAATTCTCGGCTGCGGAGTCGGAAGAGGTCGAGGTGCTGGTGGTGGATAGTCCCGCCGCCGTCGATGCTGTTACAGTTGGCGACGTTGCTGCTCCTGTCATCGGGGGCTCCGTGGGTGAGGCGGCTGAGGGAGGTACCGATAGGATGCTCTCCTTGCGGACCAGCTTGGAGAACTGGTTCCGGAAGGACGAAGTGCCCCTGGAGAGAGAGAGGACAAGTAAAGCAACACATTGATTGGTTGGTAACAGCTTAACTGCTTTAGGCGGATGAACGACCAAGAAGGGGACATATTGATTGACGTCAGCTTAACTGACAGTAAGGGCTGATGAGAGAACATGCAAAGCGGGTATTGATTGGTGCCAGCTTAACTGTTGTGAAGGCTGGAGAGAGGACAAAGTAAAGCAAAAAATTGATTGGTTGGTAATTTACCGGCGTTACTGATTGTGTGGGCGGATGAGCGAACAAAGCACGTATTGATTGTGCCATCTCAACTACTGTAAAGGCTGATGTGCTCGAACGACATCGGCAGCTCCACAAACACGACCCCCTCCCCCGCTCGAGAACGCGTGGTCAATGGCCTAACCGCTAAGGCATGCGAAACATACGCCCGCCCTCCCTCCCCTTGACGGTCAAGGAAAGCCAGGCTTTTTCCTGCCACTGGATAGCAGTCCGTGCTCGAAAAAAATATATTCATTGAAAGGTCAAAATCATTTGAGTTTCCCGGCCAGGTGTCGATTTTTATCTGTCGAACACCGGCATTGCACGGCCCAACAAACGCATGCGTGATGCGGCTGAAGTGGAAACGGCAGCCGGGACGAGCAAAAACAAGAAAGGCGAGGTGGCATGCGCGCGGAGAAAGTGCTCGATGCGTAGAGGACAACCCGAAAACGATGACGGAGGTTTAGTAGGAGCGGAGGGGGAGAGTTCAGTTCAAAACACGACAACGTGCTCATAGTAGACGGGATGCGAAAGAAAGGACGGGACGAAAGCACACAGTCCCCTACACACAGAACCCGGAGGAAGTCCAGTTACTAACACGACGGCGTGCTCATGGCCGGAATGCGAAAGAAAAGAACACAAAATATGCTCGGGGAAACTGGTAGAACTACAAGTTGGTCACCGCATGACTGAATTGCTCATCTAATCTGCCACGGACTCTTCTTATCTGTGGAAGAGATGGACTTCTTTCTTGAAATCTTTGTAGGAAGACCAACAAAAATACATTTTTGTCCCCGTTGTACACACCTGCGGTACATCCCCCGGAAGCTTCCGCCGCTGCCGTTGCCGGATCCTACCGGCCTCAAGGCCCGCCGCTTCTCCTCGTCCTTGGTGCTACCGACGATATCGAGCGATGGTCTCGCGGCAGTCGAGGACTTGCCGCCGCTTCCTCCCGCTACCTTCGCCGCCGCCTCTGATGCTCTCGCCGACGTTTCTGACTCTACCGCTGCTGTCCCCTCCGGAGGGGGAAGGGAGCCCTCGCTGCCCATCAGGCTTGTGCTGTCCAAGCTGGAACTGTTGGAAAGGGAGTCGTCCGGGGTGACCAAGCCGCCCTTGGTCGCCTCGTCTTCTGGGGGAGGGTCCAGCACCGACATCTGAACGTGGGGAGCGTGCGGAGGCGGGCGCGCAGGAGGGTGTGTATGTGTGTGTGTGTGACAAGAGCTTTTAGGCAAAACCCCTTTGACTGCAGACATGTGTACGAAAGACAAGGTCCTCCCGGTCACGCGAGAAGCAGGCTTCGAGAAGCAATATCCTGACAACCGAAAGGTGCCTGCCTGTGCTACCACTAGCACTGGTACTTTGTAGAGGCCTTTCCACTACGATTCTCTATGTCGAGAGCATTGAGCTCACTTCATACACCTCCATGGCACTACTGGTCAACGCTTTTGATTGTTAACTGACTTGACTGGGGGTCTGGCGTGTCCTCTGCCCTCAATTGTCAGCTCATTAACAAACATTTCTGCAGCATTTCGGCTACCCCATTCTGCGGTAAACTTGAACGATGATTCGAGTTTGTTTGTTAACGTCACATGCCAACACGAACAATGCCCCACTCCCCCCCGTTTTTTTTTGGCGGTAACCGTAATGGTGGCCGAGCAGATCATGTTGTGCGGGGTCGAGAACCCTCACTCCGCGCAAGGGGGATGATCGCACCACGTTGTGTTAAAATGGTCAAGCACCCTCGAGGCAGTTACACAGTGCGCACAACTGTCTCTGGAGGTGAAGCGCCAGAAAATAATA